CAATTGGGGCTATGGGGAGAACTTGTCTCAAAAAATAAAAATACATAAATAAATAAATAAATAAAGGAAGGAAGGGAAGGAGGAATGAAGGAAGAGAAAGAATGTGAACCTTGTGCCAGCCAATATGCAAATGACTCTGATAGTTGTGATGGTTTATCTTGTCAAATTGATAAGATTTAGAAACACTATGGAAACAAACCTCAGGATAGGTTTGTAAGGGATATTCTGGATTAGTTTAACTGAGGTGAGAACACCTACCCTAACTGTGGGCAGCATCACTTCCTGGGCTAAGGTCCCTGTCTGAATAAAAAGGAGAAAGTGAATTGAACAGCAGCATTCATCGCTCTCTGCTTCCTGACTAGAGTCTATATGACCAGCTTTCTGTTGCCATGCTCTCCCCGCCGTGATCAATATACCCCCTAAACTGTAAGTCAAAATAAATCGAGAAAAGTAACTAAGACAATGGTGATCACTATCTCCTTGTACTGATGAGAAAACTGAAAGCACAGAAAGTAACATTCCCATGGTACGTAAGAGCTAAGGGTTGTAGAGCTAAGGGTTGAATTCAGGCTAACTCCAAAGTCACCATGCTTCCATCCAGAATAAAAATAATTAAGAATATACTTTGAAATATATTGAGCTTTCTACCTTGGGGTGAAGGGTGACACAGTGTGTCATTCTGTTAGTCCAGTTTGGCTTTAAATTCACAATCATCCTGCCTCAGCCTCCCTAGGGCTTGAATTACAAGCCTCTGCGCCATGTCTGACAAAGTTACCTGACTTTAAAGTATTCTTTCTTCTACTTCCATCTATGTAAACGTTAAAAGAATTAATAAATCCTCTCTTTGCTTATTTTCAATATTTAACATTTTAGATATTCACCCCAAATACCAAGGGGTGTCTAGAAAACTTATGCATCACTGTCTGGGTTTCACTAGAGACATGGTAAACAGCCATAGGACCATAACTTGCATATCTCCAACTCTCTAAGTATCTTCTTCCTTCTCTTCACTATCTTGGTGACTTGCCTTTCCTGAGAATTCTAGAGTCCCACTTTAATGCAAACATGAATATTTGAAAGCTTTACTCTGAGAAGAAAAATGAGCAAGAATCTATTCTCTTTAACATTCAGTTTATTCTCCTCATAGAACAGGAATGGGTCCATGAGACACATTTTTGTCTCCAGAACCTCTACCAGATTTCATATAGTCTGGCCCATTAGAAACATGCAATAAAACTTTCTTAACAACTCAACTCTTCACTTCACTTTAACCAATAGTTCATTACCTAAATGAAATCTGCCAAAAGGGGCAAGCTCCATTTGTCTCATATTTGCATGAATATTATGCTGTGAATTGTTACACTCCTCTGAACTTCAAAAGAACTTCCTGGCCCCATTGACTACAGCTTTAACAACAGAGCATAATTGATTTATAGAAAGATCTTTCCTTGGCAAAAGACCTCAAACTTTGCTGATGCTGGACAGTAACAAACATTTTATTTAAGCAACAAATAGCTCATTCATCCATTGCAGTGCACCATTAGTATTTCCTGGTGTCCTTAGCCTGTCTTTCTGCTTGTAAGGGCCACTATAACTACGGCTAATTAGCCATCAGCAAGTGGCAACACAGGCCTCATCACTGCTTGTGAAAAGAGGTTTATGCATACAAAGCATTTTTTTCTAAATCCCTTCAGAATTCTACACTAATTGAGAGAGGATCTTTCAAAATAATGGCACCCAACACATTCTTCTCTGGTGTCCCAGATAGAAGAGTAAGCACTCTCTTTGACTTAGAAGATTATATTCAAACCAGCACATGAAAGATTAAAAACCTGAGGCTTCCTTGAGTAAAATAAAGACAGGTAGTATGGACAGATGAAAAGGTTTAGTACTTCTATTCTTACACATTTCCTGAAGTTTTTTTTTCATCTTTATAAAATAACCCTCTTTTTTTTTTTTTTTTTTGGTCTTTTTCAGAAGGTGATGCCCTGTAGCCACAGCTGGCCTGCAAATTACTATGTAGACCAAGCTGGCCTGGAGCTCTCACAGAGTTCTGCCTGCCTCTGCCACCCTATTAAAGGCATTCACCACATCCGGCTAATAACACTCTTTTTCTTTTACTCCCATTCCATTCTCCTGTACTAGACAGTAAAAATGCAGGAAACGAGATGGACTTTTACCTTGAAGGGCTTTTTCCTGTTGTAAAAGTTTTACTTACCAATTGAGGACACTTTGGAATAGATAGATATAAAACGATCAAAACCAGAATTCATGAATCTACCATCCAGAGATTTAAAACTAATTCTCTGTTGCATGCCATATAAGAATATAAAAAATTTCATATGGCATAAAGAATTATGGATAAACTCCAGAAGAAAATACAGGAATATAGAGTGGGGAAGACCTTCCAGCAAACAAGAAATTCAGTAGCCATATTGGAAATGAATACAGATCTGACTAAACAAAATTTTAAAAGCAGTATAAAAATATAACTGACACAAGTACAGTTTGGAATAACAAAAAGCTCGTATATTTTTATATATGAATATCACAAGAAGCCCCAAATAAATATACAGAATTTAGAAGAAGTCTGATTAAACCAAAATATTATTGAAATGAAATATAATTCCCATAATTAAGGTGATCCTCCAATACATAGATTAATAGCAATCTTGGTAAAGGAATTTTTAAATGGATATTCACACATAGGTCATAGGAACTTATTGAAGTATAATTTACCAGAAGTTACCAAGATTAAAACTGAACATACACTTTGACAAATAATTCCTCACAAATAGTTGCATTAGCATCTAAAGTATTTCAATAATGCCCTTATAATGTCAAAAGCAGGAACCCATACACCTACAAATAGAGGTTAGTTAAATAAGCTATAGAACATTCATGCAATTGAAAATTATGTAGGTATTAGAAACATATGGTTTAGTTACACTGAAATGTTCTGACATAAACAGCTATCTTATATCATGTAGGTTCCACATACGAGATAAAATATACTTGTCTTTTTGAACTATAATTGGAGAATCTCTTTCCCAGGACCACCAATTTTTCAGTAAGCTGTGTTCTTAATTGTAGCGTAATATATATAGTACTCAGAACATTTCAATAACTGTGGTTCAGTGGACTGACATTTCCACTGCCGCTAACGTCTCTCTGTTAGTGCAGCATTATAAATCTTCTGTGTATGTCTATCTGTGTGTGAAGGCAACATTCATAGGACATATGTTGTTTTGATTTCCTCTTTAGTTGTGATGACTTTGCATATCTGTGATTTGGGTGTGGTCACGCGGAATGGTAGTCGAGAATGACACTGATCTTGGCCTCACTCACCATCTGACTATAATCCTGAAATATTAGACCAGAACTAGTGCCTTAGACCATCCATTGAGTAATTACTTTAACTTCAACTAATATTAAAATTACTTGAGACATACTCATTGGTACAAGGAAGCATTAGACAGTATTAGTTTGGGGTTCTTAAATGATGTTTCTTTGCTTTGTCAACAAAACTCGAAGTTTCATGGGCAATATTCCTCAGTGCATTGTAAGTAGGGAAGACCCACAAGAAGAGTTGGCCTATTGAGAATTACAGGATTTCCATAAGTAACAGGCTGTAAAGGAAGGTTTTCATTTTTTTTACGATATGAGGGATTTTTAAGCCTTACTGATTGTGTATTGAGCTGAGAATGAACTGACAGCATTTCTATCACATGCACTAAAGTAAAAAGAGGATTTCTGGAAACAGGTCCTGACATGGACTATATTGTGGGAGAAGAGGGCAGTAATTTGAGAAATACAGTGGGAAAAGCTGATTCAAGTTTCCTTTGAGAGACTGTTCCCTGCTATGCTACCAGTTGTGATGAAGTCATTTTAGATACCAAAATAGATTACTCATGCTTAAAGTACGAAACCCCCAAGATGAAGACGATTTGTTATGAAAATCACAATGTGGTAGAAACATACTTAATGGTAGAAAGGCCTTGGTATCACCATCCATGTCAGCAAGCCTTCTGCCACTTATACTGATAGAGAACATATTTAAGAGATAGGTTTCAGATGCTGCTGCAGCTCCTACCAAGAATATTTTCACAGCTCCTTCCCATGAATAAGTTCGGTGGAGCATAGAATGCCCCATGTTGGACCAATTCCAGTTTGTGCTTCTGTTTGATGCTGCCCTGAAGGGGAACTAGAGTTCTGGGTTTCCCTCAAATTTAGAGCAAGCATCTACGTTAGAAGTGACTGCAAGTGGCCTAAAGAAGATGAGGTTCACATTGTACAAAGGCAGAAGAAAGCTTGTAACAAGAACAGATATGTCAATAGCAACAAAGAGGGTTAATTACACCTCAGCCCCTTGAGCCACTCTGATTTCTCTGATGTGTTAGTTCATTATATGGATCACAGCCTTTCTAGAAATATTCCCTGGGTTTCCATGGACTTTCCTTTTAATAAATGCCATCTAACTTGCTAACAGTTCTTAGAAACTAAATTCTGTAATAGACTTTTCATCTGAACGCACTTTACATGAAGGTTTCCTCCTTCATTGGCTTTCAGAATTAGGGATAGGCAGAGCCTCCTTTTCTTTTCTTCTTTGTTACTCTTTTTCATAAACTGAAACCTTCACTGAAGAGTCAAACATATAGGAAAAAATCCAGCTCATCTGACAAACATTTCTAGAGTTACATAAAATGGAATGACATTTGTACAGTTTAGAACAGGAAGGTGAAGATGGGGCTAATCAGTCATGTGTTCTATGAGAAGAAAACTCTATGATAATCAGTAAAACAGCCTCTGATTTAGTTGACCTGATCCAAAGCTCTCATTTTTTAAATCAACTCATGCACAAACAAGTTAATATTCATTTGCTTCTCACAGAATAATAGCATGGCCACATTTGAGCTAAACCATAAATCTACAGATTATAACCACATTTTCAAAAAATTATAAAGGAAGTATGTGATTTTTTTAAAACTCAAGACACTTACGTTTTACTTGCTCTGTTTTGCTTCCTTCTAGGAAAATAAAGAACAACAGCAAGGAAAAGACATATTTCATGCCTCCCATTTTCCACTTTTTTCTTCTTTGAGTTACTGCAAAAGGCAGTTCAGGACCTCCAGCGGGCTGTGTACTCACACTGTTAAAAAGAAAACAGAAAGAAGAAATTAAAACAGATCCCTGTTAGCTAATAAAATCAATGACATGCTTCTAACTTGCTGGGGAAAAAAAAAACAACACTGAAGAATTTACCTAAGTGCAAGCATTGTTTGCCTGCATAAGACAAAGGACTTGCCTCTCTTGTCTTGTAAAGATTATGGGAGGAAATTCACATGAGTGAGTATGAATTCCTGTCCAACAATGAGTCTAAATCATTACAAGCAAGTCACAGGAAAATAAAAATAAATTTGGAAATCCTTTCTAAGGAAATTTTAGTGGATTTCTCAGGAGATTTTGGTTTTGGTGTGCGAGTATGGTGGTAGAGAATAGGGAACCTGGAGATTACAAAAAGGCTACTTTGGCAAACAAGGTAAAAGTAGTAAGCATTTGACTGACTCCAGCAATTTCTGGAATGAAAGTTAAGTATTCTTAGCTTCAGACTACTGTTATCATTAATCCTTCACAGATTAAACACCCATTGATCAGTGTTTCTCTTGTGTCCCCTATGAGATATAGGATCTACACTTTGGGTGCTTATGTTGCAAAAGATAGATGCAATTAGGAAATGCATAGAATTCAACATCTGAGAAGTTTCATTGCTTAGAGTATTTCAGGCATATTCCTTCCCATGAAGTCCATTGTGAAAGAAAATGTAAAGTGTGTAATTTTAAGTGAAATTGGTCAAATTGAAATGGATCATTCAATTTCTGCCACCCTCCAAAAGATGGTTAAAGCAACTGTAGTTCTTCAAAAATAGAAATTGGTATTTCAAGTGTAATGGATGGAAATCCTAAGCCTTTGGAGCCTTAGAAAATAGAATTTGCTGTACTTTTATCCAGTCACAACTATTTTCCATACACTTTGGAGTTTATAAAATTCTTCCAACAGGAGATTGGAGGATATGTAAGTATTCTAGAAACACTGCTTTCAGTCAGGGGTTAACCCTGAATAGGAACTAAGCACAATGATATTTTCAGAGAGTCCAACATAAGTATTGAACATAAAGTATCTGAAGGAAAGGATTGTAAGATGCTCATTTTGGACATTCGACTCTATTTGGGCTCTGAAGGCAATGCACAGATTTTATTTTAAATGCTATGAAGTTGCCATGATCATTCAAAATCCATTATTTCAGCCAGACTTGCTGATGCACACTTGTAATCCCAGTATACTTAGGAGGCAGAGACATGAGGATCATTTTAAGTTCAAGGCCAGCTAGAGTTACATAGAGAAACTTTGCCTCAAAACACCAAAAAGCTCCCATTGTTTCATATTATGAATATATGGACACCTAAGTAAGAATAAACTTATCCTAGAAAATCATATGGGCTATCTGGGAGATTTGTAGTACCCAGATCTGCTTTCTTTCTTGACCCCCCACGCCCCAGCTCCTTATGAAAACGACACATTCTCCTAGGGTGTGTTCCTAAACTTGTAGAAGCCTGGGCTCTGATGTTCTCATCTCTTATGTGAGTTTGTGATCCATTTTAAATCACTCACTGTACTGTGAGACCGACCGGATTCCTTTGAAAAGCATTTTCAATAACAGTTTTAATACAGCCATCCACCTCAATGAAGTTCTTCCTGAGTCTACTTTAATAAGTTTATCCCTCCAAACCTCCAAAATACAGAGATTTTTAACTGCTGAAGTTTAATTTATCACATTCATATATGGACCTCAGGGGGTACTTTTGAAACCATGGCTTTTGAGTATCTCCATGCAAAAATCAACAGGGTTGTTTTTCTTGTACAATGGTTGGGTGAATTGGTGAACAGTAGCATTGCTTCATAACTTAAGTTGGCAAGAAAATGGCCCTTAGAATTTTTTGCTTTTCTTGGGTCCCAACTAAGGTTATAAGCAAATAGAAAAGTTGGTGACTAGAGAGCAATTAATCTCTTTTGGCATTCCTGTCATCGGTGTGGCCTCCCAGGCGGTGATGGAGAACATCAGAAAATGAATCGTTTTATAAATATTCATTTTTGATTTACAAGATCCTAAAGTCTTGCCTTTGTATTCTGTGCAGAAATATGAACTGAGAAGGGTTCCCTTCCAAGAGCTCTTCACTATTCAATTTCTTTTTATTCTTTTACCTTTTTTATTGGGGGCAGGAGGTATTTCAAGACATTGGTTAGAACTTTAGCAATAAACACAAGCTTCGCTCGGCAAACATCCGTCGTTTATTCATGCAAAGAGCCAAACTGTCCCTAATTTTTCAAATTATACTTTGACCCAGTTAACTGGAGTTATTTCTGCATTAACTCTCTGTCTGCTTCACACAGGCTGTTGTGCCATTGAACTTGAGCTGGCTCTTTTACACGTTACATAGAAATGTTGGGCAGGCGGTGGGTGATCTAGCACCCATGAAGACAGGAACAAAGAAAACAAATCCCTGAAAATAATCCTGAGGTGAGGATGGGAGGGGAGAGTGCTTAAGATTTATAAGAGGTTGAGAAATGTGTCAGACATCCAGGGAAAGGCAACAGTTCAGGTGCCTCCAGGAAACCAACATTCACACTATTCCTCTGCATCAAGCAAAAGACCAATTGCTTTTTGCTTAGCTCTAACTCTAAGGCCATCTGGACCCACTCTCAGAAAAGGTCTCCTGGGTAGAACAGAACTGGAAACATTGCCAAAGGAAAGTCAAAGGATATACACATGTCAGCTACCCCTTCACACCCCATAGTGTCTCTTTAATGATCTCAAGTGAGGCTTAACTGACCTTGTAATTTCAATCCCTATCATCTGTGAGACGGCCCTTAGAATAGCAATTTTCTTTCTGACAAACAAGAAGAAAGACACTGAAGACTTCAGCCCTTGTCCATCAACTTAAATCATCTCCCCATACTACCTCTCAGCAACAAAAGCTCAGTTAACTCCTGGTGGATTGCCACTGAAAGATGGCAGTTTGAGTCAAGGGTATTTCTTGTCAGGGGCAAAGCCTTTCTCCCTGTTTCTGATTGACAAAGAATACCTTGCTTCTGGCTTGCAAAATACCTTCTTTGGAGGTATCACTGCATTTTATACCATACAGCTACACCTTCAAAATCAGTAGGGTGTGGTGGGGAGAAGAGGAAACCAGAGTTGACTTAGTGGCAGAGCTGGAAGGTAGATTTTCCAGGCCCTGAATTCTAGCAGTCCTACTTTGTTTTCTAAACCTAGAATCTCAAATTCTGACCCCAGAGGTCTGGGCCTGAAAAGAAGGATGCCCAGAGGAGACCGGAACCTCTCCTCTTTGTCCACCCCATTTCTTTCAGGATAGTGTGTGTCTGTCCATTGCACTTCAGTAAATGAGCAAACAGGCTCTCTCTACACATGCAATAATAAAGGAGAGCGCAAAACCTGTAGGCAGCTGGGCAGGGAGTGCCTGATTTGCCTCTGGAAGCCTAGAAGTATTACAAAGAGTACAAATGTAGGCCAAAGAGGGAGAGGCGAGTCGTGGGTTCAAATCCAGAGACCCCAGTCTGTCTCATGGGGTACCTTGGGATCTACCTCCATCCCAGCATCTGGGCCACAGAACTGGTTGGAATGGCAGGTCCCAGAGTTCAAGGCGTTCTTCTGGAAAATCAGGGGCATCTTTAGGCAACAGAAGGCACTTTACCTGTGCAAAGACTGGAAAGGGAGGTGGAGGGAAAGGCATCTGGCACTGCTCACTGACCTGGGCACTGGCCTCCTCCGTCTGCCACGCTTGCGCGCGCTCTGAGCTCCCCGGGGCGCTCCTCTGAGGTCTGGGGCTCGCAGGTTGTGGCGAGAGCTGGAGTGCGCGCGAGGGGGGAGGGGGGACTCAAAAGTGGGTGGGAGGAAAAACATCACCGCCCTCGCACGAGGGAGCACCCGCTCGTTCGGCTCCAGGGGGCAGAGCCAAAGCGCGGGTGCGGCGGCCCGAGGCCACCTGCCCACCCGTCTGCCCGCTCCCCGCTTGGCCTGAAAGGCGGGTCGCTTGGCGCTGGCGGGAAGTCCGCCTGCACGCAGTCTCTGCAAGCACGCAGCCCTTCTTGGTCCCTGTACTAAGATTGTATTCCTACTCCCAGGAATTGAAAGTTAGAGAACCCGGAGAAAGTGTGAGGCTCAGACGGCACTTTCCCATCACGCAGCGCCCCCACCACACACCCCTCCTCTGGCTAGTCTAGCGTTGGGGTCTTAAAGGGACCGCACATCTTCTCCAGCCTCTCCTCCTCTGCTGTGCATGCCTCTTAGATCTCCCCACCTCTGGCTCTCACACTAAAAACTAAACTTTCCTCTCCTGGTTGCACCACAACTTCTCTTACAGGGAACGACTTTTCCTTCTGCACCTGGTCTGTTCCTGAGCCTGTGTTCTGTATGCAAATTGAGCAGACCCCCACAAATTAAGCCCTAACATACTTTTATCAGTGCAGGGCATTTCACATATCCTCACTGTGGAAAGTGACAAAAGTTTGGTGTCTTTATAAGGGGGATGTGCATTCACGAAGTGAGCTGAGGGGATGTGGAAATCTTTCTGCCATAAAGATATCTCCCAATTCCCATGGAAAAGGCCCGTACTAATTGTTAAGTATTTTGAAGAAAACACAGTGTGGCCTACCATCACCACCTCTGCTTTAGCAGTACTTAAGATTCTATACTGGACCAAGGATCAAAGCTTAAAAAAAAATCACAATACCATTCCTACTTCAATTGTGTGATTAGGTGATGGACTACAGTTATAAAGATTCATCAGAATCCTCTAAGACTCATGAAAGCATTTTCTTGGCAAACAGTACCCATTTATATTTTAAGCCTCTGAATTTGGAGGAGAGCTACAGGTTGTTTTCAAAATGAAGCAGATAATAATGATGTTCTTAACATCTGTGAAGCACTTTATGCCTTACAGAGTACTTTTATATATATACTGTATATCATCATTATTAATATTTAAACCCTCACCCCTTCACCCAAACTGAACTACCAGTGGCATCAAGTGTGAGGTGCTGGGGACCTTCTCGGCCACTCAGCTCAACCTCTTCATTCACAGAATAGGAAACTGATGTGAGCAATGGATGTATCCAAGGTTATACAGCTAGTAATTGGTATATATGAGATTCTAATTCATTGTGTCCTGACTTTAACCCATTACTTTCTATTAACCCACAGACTATAAGTTGAAAAAAATGCTCAATAAAATTATGGTTAGCTAATAAGGAAACAAATAAACAAACCCCCACATATCAGGAGCAAAAAACAAAGGTAAATTAAAACAAGAATAATTATCTTTAGAGGGTACCCACTTTTTCTTTCTTCTGAAGTGCTACTATCATCCAACCAGCCCTTGCATTGCTGAAGATGTTTAATTATTAGCAAAGGAGAAATGCCCTTTCTGAGATGTTGCCTTCAGGGCTCAAAATGTCTAGCACCATTCTGCTGCCTGAATAGCCATGCATTGACACGTGCATTCAATTTGTGCAGTAATAAATTAGTTTGAACTTGGGGATTTGTTGCCTTATAATGGTTCCTGGGCTGTTTAATGTGCCATTAAGCTGAGAGTTCTTCAAGGACAAAGATTGGTTGTCCATATTCCTTTGTATAGGTTCCCCAATTGGAATCATCCCTTTCAACACACTTACAGAGTATTCATGATAATGGATTTCAAGAAACAGTCAGGGATAAACATGAATCCTAACACTTAAAAGAAATAGACTCACTGAGATTTAAAACTGTGACTGCTCATTCCCATTGGTTGGTATATGATCTAGATTAGATTATTGCATGATAAAAACATTGCAAAACAGTAGCTTAAAGTAAGTTACAATTGTCAATTGGTTCTATTAAATTAAATCTTTTAAATTCACTTAAGATCATTTATATATTTCCAGGCAACTGTAAATGGAGTTGCTGCGATTCTGTGGCAGATTCATTAGTATAAATTTTATGAACTTTGTTTTAGATCTACTCTTGATTTGTGAATAACGACTCAAATTTAGGTGAGTCAAAACCTAGTTTTTTATCAGGTCTTCTCTAAACTAAACTGAAGACAATCTCCATGCCATATTTTCTTTAAAAAAAAAACTTACTGAATTTTGTGTATTTCATGGAGAACATATTAATCATCTTTATATTCTCTTCCCCATTATCCCCCTCCAATAGCCCCCCCCATGGAATTCATATATTCTGTCGTTTGTGTTAAGGCCTATCATGTCAAGTTAGTGTTCGCAGATATCCACCAGTGCAACTTTATCTGCTGAGGTCTAGTCAGCCTAGCTAGAGTCCCTCCCTTTAAGAAGATCAGCTCTTCCTCACCCAGCAGTAATCAGCTGCCAGCGATTCTTTGACTAAGATTTGGGCCTGCTGTCCATTTCCACAGTTCTGTGCTAGGCTTTTTCTGCTTGAGGTTGCATGGGGATTGTGCATGCTTGTAGGAGGAACTGCTGACAGGCCTGGTAAACATGCTATGGTGCATGCACAACAGTTACTTCCCCTTAAGCCAACCTGAAATCTGCCTGACCAGGGAGAAACAGCTGATGCTAGAAAAGGTGATGAGAGAGACCACTGAGAAAGAGACAGCACAGCACGGAGCAGCCGAGGGACCAATGGGGCACCAGGAGGGGGTATATAGGCATGCCCAATATCTGCAATAAACGAGTTTATTTTGCCACTTGCCTGACTCCCAGAGTCTGTGCCGTTGACTCTGCACCTTCTTACCCCCACCCCCAAGGGGCTCGGGAGCGGGCAGTGGCAACACACGCTGACACCATTCCTATAAGTTTATATGAGAAGGGTTCCACGAGCCTGTAGAACCCTATTTGCATATGGTCCTACACCTCCTCCCTGGATCTTCCAATCTTTCCACCCCCTCTTCCACAATGGTCCCTGAGCCCTAGGTGAATGGATTTTATTACAGGACCTTTCCAAGGACCCATACTCTGTAGACTCTTATTCTCCATGTTTTGGCCATTTGAGACCTTTCGTGTTCCTGGCCCCCTGTTGCATGAGGGAGCTTCATTAGAGACAGGAAAGAGTCATTAGTGTTCTCTTCATCCCTTGTTCTATGTTCCATGAGCCTTAGTTGTAGAGGTTGAGTCCTAGATGTGCCACTTAGGCTTTGGGCAATTCACAAACAATCTTTGTGTGTGACCAGTTGTGGACCTCCATGATAATCTTCGTCTGTTGAAAGAGAAGCTTCTTTGATGGGTAGTGACTTGGATACTTGTCTGTACGTTCAAGGATCCATATTTTGCACACAGTAAGAAATTACATTTGTCTAGGGATATGACAGCCTTGGGGTTTTCTCTAAGATCTATGACCTCTCCAGCTATGTGTATTTGGCTAGGTTTACAGTACCACACATGAGTTTCCTCCAATTGAGTGGGCTTGACGTCCAACTACGTAGCTGTTGATTACTCTCAAGATAAATGTGCCACTATTGCACCAATGTTGCTTGCTGTGCCAGTCATTGAAGTTTTTCTTACATTTTTTAGGCCTTGAAGCTGGGGTTGGACCATTGTTGATGTTCTCCCTTACCAGCCTGTGTAGTGTTCTTCAAAGCTATGAGAGCTAACCTTCAGGGGAGTTGGCTTCAAGGTCAGTTCCAGCTCCATTGCTCCAAATCCTGTGTCCAAATTATGTCTTGTCTTCAGCAATATGGTCTTACCTTCAAGTCCTGGGAGACAATCAAAGGCTATGGCAATAGTCTATATAATTTTGGGAGTGTCTTAGACTACCCTGGCCAACAACTCAAAGGAGAGTGTCTCCGGTCTGGCACTGTTTCTTCTTATGTAGCCTTCAGCTATACACAAGGACTCACGTAGAGATATAGTATGTGTAATTTTTCAGTAGGTTTTTGGACTAATACGATCCCTTCTGTTTTTTTTTTTTATACTAGTTAGGCATTATTTATTTCTCCTCTCTCTCCCTGTCTAATCCTCCCTCCATGCCCTCCCCGTTTAAAGTATCCCCGTTTTCCCCATTTCTCCCTTCATAATTCCTGTCTGCTATGGTCCCACCTCTCTTGGGCTCCTTCTTCCTCTTTATCCCCATAGTTCTTTGTATAACCCTCCCTCACCCCTTCCATATAACTACCTCCATTTTCCCCATTTCTCCCTAGTAATACCTGTCTCCTACTGTTCTCTCTTGAGTTTCTTCTTTCCCTTTTCCTCCCTGGTTACATTTCATTTTCCTGTTTCCTGAAGTTACAACAGGATATACACTCACATATAAGGATTTGGTATGAGGATTCACAAATGAGGGAGAGCATATATCGTTTTATTTTCTGAGTGTGTATTACTTCCATGTGGTGGTGAGGTTCCATGCCATATTTTCTGTTTTGCAAATGGAGATGATAAAATAATCTCATATTAATTTTAAACTTTTTATTTTTAACACTGAATTTTAAATATTTTATTATTTTTATTTGATGTGTATGAGTGCATTGCCTGCATGTATATAAGTGCATCTGTGTCGTGAAATGCCTACAGAGGTCATAATAGGGTATGAGATCATGTGAAACTGCAACTGGAGTTACAGATGGGTATTAGCTTCCATGTGGGTACTGGGAATAGGACCTGGGTCTTGTGCAAGAGGAGCCAGTACTCTTAGCCTCTGAGTCACCTCCCAGTCCCAAAACTTTTTATTTTTATACAATTATTAATTTATTTTCAGCTGTAATAAATTATTCAGGGGTCTTGGAGACATACCTCTGTAGTTAAGAGCACTGTGTTCTCTTGCAAAGGACCGGGGTTCACTTTCCAGCACCCACATGGTGGTTAACAACCATCCATAACTCCAGTTCCAGGGAAATCTAATGCCTTCTGAGTCTGCAGGTATTGCATGACATGGGTGCACTTACACACATGCAGGCAATACACTCATACACATAAAATAAAAAATAATAAATATTTTATTGAGCTTTTTCAATTTCTTACAACATTTCCCACTGAAATTCAGTCGCCCTCCTGCATCCAGGCCTCCTCTATGCCCACACCGAACCCTCTGCACTCTGCCATAAATTTTTTTAAAAAATAAAATAAGAAATGATTCCGAAGAATCCTGAATGTCCTTCACCTACTTTTCCCTCATAGTAAATATTATGCATAACTATAGTATATTCTCACAGCCAAGAGATTGGCATTGATACA